AGGTGGCCACTCAAAGGTGCCATCCGATCCGTTAAATCCGGTTCGTTAATTTTTATCAGCTGTCCGTTAAATTTCGTTAAAGAAAAAGGGAGAAAAATTCAGAAAAAACGAAAAAAATCCAAAAAAATCAAAAAAAAACCCAAAAAATCACAACAACTGCGGCTAGTTAAAAATCTAGTATGCATAGGTTGAAATAAAATACAAACATGCACTCTAATAGCGAATTCTATAAACTATAAGTATGAAAAAAACCCAAAAATCCCCAAAAAATCCAAAAATCCGTTAATTTTTGGTTAATTTTTGTCTTTTTTCGTTATTTTCCGTTAATTAACGGAAAATTAATGGAAATTAACCTCTGTCCGCTATTAACGGATCCGGGTGGCCACCTCTACATAAGACCCCGTGCTTATTACAACCGGCATTCCCGAGGAGCCACGGACAGCGCTATGGACTTCACAACTGCCAAAAACTAAGGGGGGTCATGATGCTATCGTCGTGTTCGTCGATAGACTGACCAAAATGGTCCGCCTTGCAGCTACGACCACCGAGCTCTCCGCAGAAGGAGCAGCTGACCTGTTGGTGCAGAATGTGATAAGGCATCACGGCCTCCCCTCTCAGATAGTGTCCGACAGAGACGTTCGGTTCACTTCCAGGTTTTACCGGTACCTGGCCGAGAGGTGGAAGATCCAGCTCAACATGAGCACTGCGTACCATCCACAGACGGATGGCCAGACCGAAGTCATGAATCGGGTTCTGGAGGATTACTTACGCAGTTATACGCGTTCTGACCATGACGCGTGGGATGAACTGTTAGCCATGGCCGAGTTTGCAATGAACAACTCGAAAAACAGTTCCACCCAAGAAACCCCGCTCTATCTGAATTACGGGAGGCACCCAAAGAGTCCCTTAGCTCTTGGTGTGCAAATTCGGAAGCCATTAAAGGGCTATGACAATCCGAATGCCCGCGGCTTGGCAGTGGCCATTGAAAGGGCGCAGCAGCCTTATTTGAGGCAGTCTGGTACACCCCTCGTGGAGGGATTACCAGCAGTGACACGATTTGATCACCGTGTCCAATCAGCGCTGAAAGAGGCCAGGGCGTGCTTAGAGAAAGCACGAGATAGGCAGTCAAAGCATGCTGACCGCCATCGAAGAGAGGTGTCGTTTAGTAAAGGAGATGACGTCCTCCTTTCGACACAGCATATTACTCTCAAACACCCTGGGACTCGAAAACTATTACCGAGGTGGATTGGGCCCTTCACCATCCTCGACCGGATAGGTTCTGTCGCATATCGACTAGAACTCCCGGAAAGCATGCATAGGATACATCCAGTATTTCATGTATCGAAGATTAAGCCTTATAAGGCAAGTGGCAGAGTACAGCCACCCCCAGTACCTATCGAGATCGAAGGTGAACTGGAGTATGAAGTTGAACGTATCCTTGATAAAAGGATTAAAAAGCGTGGGAGACGAAAAAACTATGTTGAGTACCTTGTCAAATGGCTGGGATATGGACATGAGCATAACAGCTGGGAATCAGCAAAGTCAGTTGCAAATGCACAGGAATTGGTTCAAGCATTTGAAAATGGCAGAACACCTGTGATGCGAATGCAAACTGCATGAAGTACGGGATGTACATACTGAAACATGCTCATGTGTGCTTATGCTTTTGACAGGTTCTCTTGCGCTGGGCCCAGAAAAACACTGGGTATACTGCCCCCCGTGCAAGGTCGCAGTTTGGACACATGAACGCCATGTCCGTTGCGATCCTCAACGGGGAGAGGTTGGAGACCGCCGACCCCTACGTGCCATTTCCCCGTGCGCCTGAGCGTGCACGCGGACGTGGGCGACGGCGGGGTGCCGCACCGGGCCGATCTGTACCGGCGTGGGCTGCTGGTGGTACTCGGCATCGTGGTCGCCGATGAAAGGCCGGGAGGTCAAACATTTCCAGCCACTTGGCTGAGGAAGAGTTTTAATGAGGGTTGTGAAGGCCGGGACGGTCATGTAAAACAACCACTCTTTCTCTTCATCCAAAACTGTTTTGTGTGTTGTGTTTTGTTAACTGGGCATGTGGCAAATCGCACAGCCAGTTCCACCAACATACATACAATGTTTCTGCTCCCGTATCCACTTATACTGGGACGAGGACGCCCCTCTCCCTGAGGGGGACGAATGTTACGCGCACCAGCCTGATGTGGGAGACGTCCTACTAATGGCCCTTGGTGTGGGGGACGCCCTGCCCAAGGCACGTACTATTCCTCACCCACTGTAACCTTTATCCATATTAGGATACGGGAGTAGGAGGGATGGTCCCGCCTAGGTGCCCTGTAAGGACCTAGGTGCCCGGCGAGGCGGGTCCGCGGCTCAAAGAGGGCAGGAACCCCACACCCACATCCTATTCGTAACAATTTGTCGCTGAAGTACCATGCAAGCTTACAATGTAGCCACGAATTGTGTTCGGACGAATGAACCTATTTAATGATTAATGACACACTGCACAAGAAGGAGAGAGGGCCACCACGCTGAGCACTCCGCAGAGAAAGCATGCAACGAGGAAGCCATTTAGTTGTCCCACAAAAAGAGTAAGCAGATGAAAATTCTGAACAAAGCGATGGCAGCATCGTTGGGGTTGCCTCAAGGAGAATCGTGTCCTTGGACATCGGGGAATTCTGCCTACAGTTGCACAGAACACTGCCGCATGCTCACTAGCAGAAAATAAAACAGATGACATAGTCCTGACATGGTCTGCTCAAAATCAAGCTGTGTAGACTACACAGTTTCGGAGGGTACACGGCCGAAATTGTGTCACTGTGTACAACTATATGGTTTTGGGACCACATTCGCCAAAAGGACACAGTTCGATTTTGAGCAAACCGTGTCAGGACTGTGTCATCTGGCCTGTTTTTTTCCTAATGCCTAGGTCCCCTGGTATGTGCGCCTCGAAAGTGATGCGGTGGTTGGGTTTCAGGGCATATGGCGGAGATCTCCATCAATTGCGTTGTAGGGCTGACTCGACAAGGCGCCTTTCGCCGTGGCCGGGCGACGGAAAAGCAGGACAAGCGCCACAACCTACCACAACCGCAGTACGGGGCAACACGCAGCCAGCACGCATCACGTACTTGGCCCCTCACATGACGACGGGCGAAACACTTCCCACGCTCTCCCTCCTAATGGTGTACAACCACAGTGGATGGGACTCCTCGTGATCCTGAATCTGGAATCAGCATGAGGGAAGCACGGCGCGGAAAAACGCGCAATGACCAGCCCCCCTACCCGACCACCCAGCAGTAGTTTGCTTCCTTTTTTCCCTTCCCGCGGGGTCCCAGGGTCACCCACCAACACCCGCCGCGCTCCACATCACCGGCCGGGCCTCAGACACCCGCCGGCCCCCGCGCCCCCCTGCGTGTGGCTGTCGCCATCCGGCCCGCCCCTGTGCCCCCTCCCCCCCGCCCCACGAAGCATTATTTCATTTCGACCGTCACAGACGGGGGCGGCCATGCCTGCGCGCCCGACTCAGCCCCCCCGTCTCACGAAGCTGCGCTCTTTTCGTTCACAGCCCACGCCCGCGCCCGCGCCCGCCCTCCTCCCCTCCCCCCTCTTGCCGGGCCGCGCGTCCCCCGGCGCAGGGCTCGGCGGAACCGCGGCTTGTCCAACGCCGCCCAACCGCGGTCAGGCATCCGCGGCCCTACCTTGGCCGTGCTCTCGACTCGTGAGCGCAGCGCGAACTCAGGCGTGGGCTTGTTGCTAGCGCTGGTGCATTTTGGACCGATTGCGGCCGCCGGGCAGCCCTCCAGCTGTCCGGCAGGCGCATTCCGGCCACCGGAGGGGCTGAGGGAGGCAAGCGGAGCGCGGGGGTCGGTTTTGGCCGGGCGGGCGGCCGAAAGAGGGGGGCGGTCGCCGCGATCTGCGGCTGTGGCCCCCCATGGGGGCACTGCTGTCGCTGGGGGGGGGCGACGCCGGCGAGGACGAGCCCGGCGTGCTGAAGAACCTGCGGCTGCGCGACGACGCCATCACGGAGGGCAAGGCGCGGATCTCCAAGGCGCCCGCCAACGCCGTCAAGGCCGCCCCCACGGACTGGGCGTTTATCGAGGTGGGTGTGCCAGGGTGTGTGCGAGTGTGAGGAGGGAGTGATTGTTGCGGGTGGGCGGGTGGGATTTGGGGGCGTGTCCGCCGTCCCAGGGGGAGGGGGGAGGGGTCGAGGCCGCGGGCGTCCCGACCGCGGCCTGCGTTTGCCGGTCGCTGACCGGTTGCGGGCGCACGCGTGTTGGCCGACACGGCCGGCGAAGACCTGCCCACGGCGGGTTGGCTAGCGGCGGGGCGAAGACAGGCTCCGAGGCGCGCGCGGGCGAAGGGTCTCCGTCGCCCTGCGCCGGATCCTTTTGGACGACGTGCTTTCCCTCGCTGCGGGCATGTGAAGGGATGAATCGCCCGTCCTCGCCTCCGGCCCAGTGGCAGGAGGCATCGCGCGTGCGGTGCCTGAGGGGGAAGAGTGGCGCCCGGTCGTGGGCGGAGCTCCTGACGCCTTTGCGGCCAGAGTGGGGCGGGAGTCGACCTGCCTGCCGTCTGGGGGGGCTGGGGCGTAGGGGAGTGGTGGGGTGGTGCCTAGGATGACATCGAAGTGGTGAATGTAGGGGTGGGCGACGGGGGCGGCTGGCTCCCGGGGGAGGGGTTGGCTGGGCGGGGTTTGGCGATTTGGGGGCCGTGGGGCGAGTGTGACGGATCGGAGTGAGGGCGGAGCAGGGCGCCCGCCTTTGGAGGGCGGGCATGGGGATGGTAGCAACCGCCAGCTCCAAGTCACACTTCGATTGGCGCGCGGGTGGGGCGATCCGCGGCCGCGCTTTGCGCTCCCTCTGGAGCGCCCGAGCTGCCTGGGCTGGGGCACCTTTGGGGTGTCCGCACAGTCGACCTTCTCGCGCTCTTGTGTGAGGTGATGGCGTTGTTCATCTCCTGGGGCCGCGACGCATCCGTTTTCGTCGTGCAGTTGGCGACAAGCTCGCTGCGATGTTGCCCAGCGCGGTTTCTGGTACTTCGAGCACCTTGTTGGGCTGCGTCGCCCAGATTTTGCCGCAGTTTGCAATCTGGGTCGAGATCACGCGTGTGGGGCAATGCAATTGAAGCTGCAGCCCGTCCACGAACAACTTGTAGATGTGCGAACAAACAGATGCGTGGGTGGGGCTGGCGGCCATCCAGAGACCTGTGCCTTGATCGTGTAAATACGATCGCTTCCCTGGGAGATCTTCCCCATGGTGTCAGTGCTGAAAGATGGAAGGCCACATGGCAAGGTGGCAGTCTGCCTCTCCTAGTTGCCAAAGCCCTTGTGAGATCTGCTCACTGTTCCTTCTGCAGAATGCACTCAGCAAGCTGCTCCTGTTCAACCACCTGGAGCAGTCAGTGCAGACCAAAATTGTGGCAGAGATGTACGAATGGGAGGTGCCTGCTGGGGAGATCCTCATCAAGGAAGGCGACACTGGCCTCGGCGCCAGTGAGCTGTACGTTGTGAAAAGTGGCAAATTTGAGGTAGGTCAGCTGGCGAATGTTAACTGAGGACCAGGACAGCAAAAGCTTTGTTTACTCCTGTCCACCCGGAAAGGCTAGCTTGGTGAATGCAGCTGCAAGATATCCACTGTCACACACAACCTGGCAGTGGATTGTGGGCCAGGTACTTGCCCAGCCAATCTGCGGGGTCGTCGTGGCCTGTACCACTGTGAGACCTGGGACGCTGAGTATCTGAATGGGGCCCAATAGTTCACTGACTGTCTCAACCATGGCCTCAATGGTGTCTGGAGGAAACCTGGTGGCAAGGCCGCGTGTTGTGGCAGTTGGTCGGTTGTGCTCATAGTACCTGTGCCCCTGTACAGAGCTGTTGTACCAAGCTCCTGATTGCAGCACACACACTAACAGCATACTCATTTGCAAGTTGGGCGCATTGAAAGAGGGGGCGGTCGCCCTGCTGTGCAGGTACGTGAGAACCGGCAGGGAGTCAGCATGCGTGTCAACCTGAAGGAACGCGGGGACTGTTTTGGGGAGCTGTCCCTTATGTATAATTGTCCAAGGTCCGCCACAGTTGCTGCAACGACCGATGCCACAGTGTGGATTCTTGACAGAGACGTGTTCAGGTGGGCACTGGATCCGCAAACACCTGCAGCCACTGTCACGTCAGTCCAGGGGCCACCCCCCCTGCAGCCACATGGTTGTAGTGCACGAAGAGGCAAAGTATTGGCAGTGCACATGTAAGCTGATACAAAGCATAGACTTGCACACAGAATGCCCACCCAAGAGCACATTGTCACATTGGGTGCCTAAATGAAGTCCTTTCCATACTGTTGATTGCTCTCCGGCCCTTTGTGCCAAAGCTGTCAGTTCACAGATATCGTGGAGTCCAGCATGGACTCCAGCAGTGCCTATGCTCCCTGTTGCTGTGGATGCACAGGCCAGCAGTTTGAACAAACCTGTGCACAGCACTGCAGTGGGCATTGCATGCGTTCTGTAGTCTTTTTCTCTGCAAATTTAGTTTTGGGGTTGCTTGGGGCAGCCTAAACCCCAAACCAGTCTGCTAAAAGGACTGCAGTTTCAGCGGCAAACTTGAAGCTTCCTTGCCACATTGTCACTGCAGTGAGGGTTCTTTCCTGCATAGCGATGTTTCTTCTTGGGGAACGTTCAGATGCATGCGAATTCCTGGTGCATGATGGGTGCGGAGCCCGATTTGCTTTGGGGATTCATGTGCCCTGTGGAGTACTATACAGAGGGGCTGTTGACTATTTTGTTAATGGCTGTACTTGAGACATATTCTTGCTGAAGGTCGCTGCATCCGGAGCAACAATCAGCTGTGCAGTGAAATGCACAGTGGGCTGGACAGTTGTGCCTTAGAAACAGTGGGCGCATACAACAGTGAGCAGCAGTGGCCATGTGCTGATCACATCAGTGTTCAACACTGCTGAATCCAACGCTCTTGAAAACATAGTCTTACCTATTCAAAGAGTGTGAATTCATTGCTGTGCTTGGTTTTGACATCTTTCCACTACCCTCCCAAGGCACCAGTGCCCCCCAAACTGGAATTTGCACATGTAACCACTGTGTTCAGGCAGGCCGCACATTGTGCGATTGATATGGAGTTGAGTGCGACTAACATGCAGTTGAGTGCGATTGGAATCATTGGAAGGGGGAGGCCTGCACATGGCTGTGGTGAATTTGGTGCTGGCAAGCGCATAGATGTCCGATTTCTCCCCCATGCACCCCACCACCAACACACACTACAAGGCGGGACTGAAAAAAAGACCCTTTAGTCATGGCATTGTTGTGTGTACCATGCCTAGCTGGTGTGCCCCAGGCTAGTTCCCGTTTACTGTGGGAAGGGGCCACATCATGATTATTGCAGAAGCATGACCAGGTCATATTGCCCCCCGCCCAATACCCCAACCCCAAACTGCTGCTTGATATTGCCACAACGTGTAGTTGAAGAAATGATGATGTCAGTACAGCAATATTCCAGGCAGTGTACCCTCACTAGCTTTAGCACATGCTTCCCAATCAAGTGTTTGTGGGTCCAGCACCCCCGTGTATCAGGCTCAAATGCAATTCTGGTGTCTTGTGACTTGTGTTCTGAAGTAACAGATCAAGATCCAGGTGAATAAGACTCTCTCCTAGTGTTTGATGTGTGCCAGCTGAGTGCAGAGGCTGTGCTAGCTGTGCACTATTAGTTCACTGTTGCCACGCAGGGGGGTTCCGTGCCACAAAGTTGCCGTGTCTCTGTCTTGTGCTGGTAGCTCTCCTGATAGCTCCACAATCTTGGAGCCCTGTCCTCTGAGTTTGGCCTGCTTTGTCCACCTGAACTTGGTGTGAGCACATCTGTTTACCGTTGTTCATGTTGTGATTCATCATATTCCAGGGAATTTGGACTGTCTGGTGTCGGGCACGTGCACATAATCCAGCAACATACTATCTATGGCTGTGCCCAGTCTAGGCCTATCTGCAAACTCAAGAATGCTTTTTGTCCCTGTCAGGTTCTTTGTCCGTGAGGGCAAGAAGAATGAGACCACCCAGATCGAGTTGTTCCTCAACAGTGTTCCCCTGCTGTCGTCACTGAATCGAGAGGAGAAGCTGCGGCTGGCCGACGCCCTCTCCAGGCAGACCTTCGGAGCTGGGGCGACAGTCATCAAGCAGGGCGCCCCAGGGGACTTCTTCTACATCATCAAGGAAGGGGAGGCCGTGGTGTATCAGAACAGCCAGAAGGGGTTGAGCAAGGTGAACCACTTATTTAAGGCGGACTTCTTTGGAGAAAGGGCCCTCCTGTGCGACGAGCCAAGGTAGGTAGCCATACGGTTTTTTGTTGTGAAACGTGGGAGTAGGAATTGTTGTCCTGTTAGGCGATGTCAGGACATGCGAACTTCGTGTGGCCTCTGCAGTGTCGCGTAGTGTGATGCTGAAACGCTGTGCCTTCAGAACCTTGTTTGTTTGATGGGCTGGCTGATTGGTTTGAGCCAAGGTGGGGTGGTGGAGTGCATGTGGCCAGGGAGAATGCAGCAGAGTATAGTCCCTGTCCAAGGTTGTCTTTAGGCACCATGTTTGTTGGGGCCAATCGCCAGGCCTTTGCACCCCTTTGGGCATCGGCCCTTGGAGTTGCCTGGGTGCTAAAATACCTGGTTGTGGCAACAACACCATGTGTGGTCGGGCTGGGGAGTGGGAGTTGCACTATGTGGTGGCATCAATGGGTGAATTGCTTTTGCACCTTCAGGTACCCATGGTAGATTGTTCACAGCTATGGCTGTTGCCAGCATTCTGGCACGTTGTGTGAGCAGTAGTTTGCCTACGGACTTGCTGCAGACTGCTGCTACTGACCAGATGCCAGCTTGCGAATCTGAAGCAGAGAGCAAAATAGTATGCTGTGGTTGTTGCATTCTTGTGCAATTTCGGCTGTTTGCATGTCAGAGGCTGCCACGTATACACTGTCTCCACAGTGATTGTTTTGCCTTGTACCCTTGGGTCACTAATCGTGTGCTGCATGCTTCAAGCAGTTGATTCATAACGATCTTCCATTGGCTGTTCTTCTGCTGAAATGCAGGATGTTGTTTGTTTTTTGTGGCTACACACTGGGAAATCTACATAGTGGCAGGTCGGCTGCCCAATTTGTGGAGTGCATTCTTGTTAAGAACCACAGTGCTTGTAGTCTGCAGATTCTCAAAACCATCGGTTTTCTGGTCCAAAGTGACGCAGATGATTGTTGCTGCATTCAGAGCGGCAAGCGTTGAAGCTATCACGGAGTTGACGTGCCTCGCTCTGAACCGTGAGACATTTGTAGACATCCTGGGCCCCCTGGAGGACCTCATGAGGCGAGAGAAGTCCCCAGAGGTGATCACCACAAGGATGACACAGTTGGAGACAAAGGCACCCTCCCACGTCCCAGCTGAGGTGAATGTCAGGCGGCAGAAGCGGTCAAGAAATGGCACTGAGACATGGGAGATGGTGCGTGCAAAGGGCCACCTGGATGAAGTCAAAGAGCTGAGGAAAGGAGGAGTGAAGCTGGGAGGTGGGACTATGCACGGACATTTTGCTTTCCGGAACATTGGATAATTCAGGTCGTTGAAATATGAAATCTTGGGGATTGGATTCTTTCAGGATGTCCTGCTCGTGGCTGTGGGTGGATTGGCCATTTGTCTTGGTCCTGGGTGCAGATCTTCAATAGGCTCAGCATGGGGGGTTTTCCATCATGGGGTTGGCATGTGTGGCTTCTCGCTACATTAGGTGAGTATGTTCCTATTCCAACTTCCGCTTCACAGCAGTAGTGCAGGACATACGGTTGATAGAGGTAGGCTCATGGGAAGTTTGGCAATGGGGAATTGACTGGAGGTAGACTTTTTTGGGTATTGTGTCGTTCATCTGGATGCTTTCCACTGTGGACTGCTATCACACTGATCCACTTGCCCTTTGTTTTGCAGATGATGAACAGGACGGAACAGGGGTGCTGTTGCTAACAGAAGGCCATGTGCTGGGGGGTGGTGCATTCAGCAGGGTGTCTGTTGTCACAGGTCTGCATATTGCCTGGCCATTGTGCTTCTTGACATCTCTATTGCTGGACATTGTTCAGCTTTGCCGTGTTCGCAGGTCAATTCGTGATCGATCATTTGTGTACCAAGACGGCATTTTCTTGTGTGCGCAGCCCTGTTTTGGGGGCTGTTGTTATGTAGTATCATGTATATGTGCGAATTCCTGGAGCTGCAACTTGTTGGTGCAGAGCTCAACAGGGCCTTTGCTTCTTGCAGACGATTTTGGACATCTGTGCATTTAGTGCATTCCTTCCCAGTGGATCGTGACAATGCACTCAAACCCTTCACATGCACATGTGGTGGCCTGTTGTTGTTGCTGATCAGCTTGCATAGCGTGTCAACAACAGAATGTGGTGCGCCTCTGTCCTGTGCCAGCAAACTTCCAAGCAGGTTCGTAAACTCGAATCCCAACCCTGAACAGGGCGAAAGAAGAAAGCCCCGATTTCTCCCTCAACCCCACCCCCACCCCCACCACACCACGCACACCCTGCACTGTGCTGCAGCAAGTGTGAATCCTATGCAGAGCGCCTGTTGCTGCCTCACCACTGTGCCTGTCCCACAGAGGAGACGACGGGTCGGACGTATGCCATGAAGCGCATGCGCAAGTCGGGCGTTGTGCAGTGCCCAGAGCACGTGTTCTGCGAGCAGGCCATCACCCGGAACGTGGCCCACCCCTTTTGCATCCGCCAGTATGCTTCCTTCCAGGACAAGTACCACCTATACTTCCTCTTCGACCAGATGTCAGGTGGCGACCTGATGGATGTGCTGGTAGCAGAGGCCAAGGTCATCAAGCGGCGCACGGCGCAGGGTACCTGGCGTCGCGGCTGCCTGGCACCCAAGGTGAAGATGTTGCAGGGCATGCAGGAAAACCTGGGGCGTTTCTACATCGGCAGTGTGGTGCTGGCTCTGGAGTACCTGCATGCCCAGAACATTGTCTACCGGGACCTGAAGCCAGAGAATGTCTTCCTGGATGACAAGGTGGGATGTGGCTAATTGTCTGGGTATGGAATCCTGTGCGTTGGCCGGTGGAGCCATTCGGTTTTCTGAGTGCAGTTGCCAAGAAATTGCTATGATCTGCCCTAGGCATCCTGCCCAAAGCAAAATTGGGCACTGTCTGGCGAAGTGTGAAGTGTGAAGCGTTGGACAGACAGTTTATGTGCTCATGCGATCCTGGTTTTCAGAATGCTGGCATTGCCTTGTGCATGCGCCTGCAAGGGATTGTGATGGGCTCGGTTTTATCCAGGGCGGGCAATTGTGCGGCTCTAAGCTGTGTTTTACACTGACACGAACCAAACCACACTGACCCACTGTGCTGTGTCCATTTTTGTTTCTGCTACCCATCAGTGCCTTCAGTGCTGGTCTGGCCGCCAGCCAGGGCTGGAGGCTAATGGCAAATGTTGCAACTTTTTAACGGGTAGCTTCTTGCCACTACTTTCTGCAGTTGATGTAGTAGTGCTGTCATACCATCGTAGTGTTGCACTTGTTTCTGCTTGCTGTGCACCAGCATTTACTTGCCCACCTCCACCCAAATGTCAGCTGCCACACTCGGGTGTTGGACACAGCACTGCCCACGAACAGGTCCTGCAGCCATCTTGGTGGGATTGTCATTTGACCACACTACTGTGGTGCATGGAATGGAAGGGCACCTGTTGATTCCAACACCATGCACCAGAGATCCCTTGAAGGCACATATCCACAGCGGATAACCGATATGATCAACAGATCCTTGAGGCAACCTGCCAACTTATTGTGGAGTTTGCTGCTTCCTTGTGTTGTTCCATTGTTTCTGCAGCATCATCTTGCATTCTCTTTGCATTCCTCCTCTGGGGGCAGGGAGTTGGCGGCTTCCAAACCCAGCGCTTGTCACCACTGTGGATCGGCTGATTGATTGACAATATTCCGTTGTGGTCTGGCCTGACTGCCGGTTCACTGTATGTAAGGGCTACGTCAAGCTTGGAGACTTTGGCTTTGCCAAGGTCCTGGACAACGGAAACCGAACGTACACATTCTGTGGTACGCCTGGCTATGTGGCCCCAGAGAATGTGCTGGCCCATGGGTACAACTACAGCGTGGACTGGTGGGGACTTGGCGTCCTGATGTATGTCCTGCTGACCGGGCGGCAACCCTTCAGCAGTCCCAAGACAGATGACCCCATGGTGGTCATGAGGCGAATAGTGGACGACAACTGGCATATCAAGTATCCGCCCTACCTGTCTGCCAATGCCAAGGTGAGGTTTGTTGGGCTTGCTCTGCGTCCCTTGTTCATTGCTGTTGGAAAGTATTGCATCATTTCGGAATTATGGAAGTCATGGCAACTCTCTTGTTGCAACGATAGCTTCGGGTTGTTGCACTTGTCCAATTAGCACAAAGTGTCCAGGCACATGGACCTGGACACCTTGTGCCCTGGCTCGGCTCAGTGGCTGGTGCTGATGGAGTTTTAAGGGCAGTCATGAGCTCCTTGGTGGTAGCCAGTGAGACTGTTCGTTTACCTGTCGTTGCATTGTGTTCACTACTACGCGGCTTTCTGAAACACTCGATTGCTAAAATTCGATGCGATGCTCGTGGCCTGTCACACGTACCTGAGTGCTCTATTGTAACATTTGGCCAAAAGGTGTGTGCGACACGCATCTGCAGTAGCTGAAATACACCCTATCCAGGCATGAGTCTGTGCGAGATGAAGCGCAGAATGAAATTGGCTTGTGGACACCTTGTGGCTGCTTCTGGATCAGACTGATTCGAAATCATGTTAATGTGTTTAGCCAAAATCACAACCAAAAGTCGAGGCTTTGCCAGTGGGTTTACAGAAACAGGCAATGGGCTGGCAGTGCTCGGATCACTAAGTCTGTGTTGCTGATATTAGTCCGTGTGCAGGGCGAAATTGTGCTCAAGCACGTTTACCTGACAGTTGTTGCCTGTTGTTCCATGCACCTGGAGCCCTGAACAGCATCTCATGGTTTGTGAAAGTGCAAGAAAGACTCTTGAATAGGAATGGCAGTTTTCAGTTGTGCGACTTGTGTTCTCACACCTTCGAGGCACTTGATTCACTGTGTCGAAAGAAGCACACAATGCAATGTGCGAACCCTTTGGTCAGAAAGATAGCAGGACTCTGTTTCGTAGTGTGATAGATGATGTACACATCCCCAAGCGAGAGTAAGCAACGCGAAAGCACACAGCACTGTGCAAGTTGGATACAGTGCTTGCTTGACTCTGGCACAACTTCAACAGACTTCCCGAAGTTCAAAAGCAAGTTTCAGCTCCGCTGGTTGTCTGCAAAGTGCTGCAGTCGTTGGGATTGTCCCAGCCAGTGGTGCTTCAGTGCTTTGGGTCGACATGGTTCAGAGGGGCACCTGAACCGACGGCTGGTTGCCATTGTCGCAGGACCTGATACAGAGACTCCTGGAGCGCAAACCAGCTCGCCGCTTGGGCATGTTGAACGGCCGTGCGAACGACATAAAGAAGCACCGCTTTTTTGAGGGCTTTGACTGGGAGTCTCTGGAGGCGCGGCGGATGGACCCTGCCAGAAAACCGAAGGACGATTCCATGAAGCGCCTGAAGGAGCTCGCGGAGAGCGAGAAGCGGCAGCACCAGCGGCACAAGGAGACCCCTGAGGAGATGCGGGAGTGTGATATGGTGTTTGCAGAATTCTAGCGGATGACTGCGCCTCTTTGCCCGTTGCCCCAGCCGCCCTCGGCACGCCCCGGCTTTGCAGCCGGGCAGGCAATGGGGGCGGCGGTGTGTTGTATGGGAAGTTCCGGGGAATTTGTTTGTAGAGATCAGGATTTGCGTTTGTTCGTCCCATGGTGGCTCGCACGCACGGGCGAGCCAGCCAATAAGGAAATGGTGGGCACGCGCAGGCACTGCGCACGAGACCAGGGCTGTTCCCTGGAAGGTCATAATGCCAGGGGTGGGGCGGCTTGCAGGTGCAGACGCGGGCCTCGCCATGACGCCCTGGCTTGCCCGGAGCCGCTCCGGCGACGGTTGTGTCACAGCGAGATCATTTTTGACACTCACGTATCGCTGGTGGCCATGTGCGCGCGTGCAGACGGCTTTCCCAAAACTTGCGGTTTCCGGGGGTTTCTTTATATTAGGTTCACACGAGAGGGACGCTGTACTGGACGGGTGGGGGGCTGCGATGTCGCGTCGGGGCCCCTGACGCCAAGCCAACATGGCGGGCACGCGGCACCGACAGTCGTGCACACATTTCATTTGTTTTGGCCTTTTTCTGCTCCAGCGGCCCTGATCCGGTCGGCCTATGCACTCGCAATGTGTTGATGTGGAACTGAGAGAATGCGTTGGTGCCCTCGCTGCGGCCATTGGCGGGCTGCCGGCGCCGTGCATGTGAGGAGCGCAGAGCAGGCAACGGCGCATGGTGGACGGATGGAAGCTGACGATGTCACAGACGTGGCAGGGCCTGGAAATTGACACACAAACTGCAATGCGGAACGCCTGTTCATTTAATCATTACTATGTTGCCTAAGGATGAGCCTGGGGAAGGGGTATGTGCCGCCCAGCGATGGTCCTGAGCCAATGCCTCCCTAAAGCCGATTAAGGCATGCTGCGATGGGCAATCGCGGCTGGGCACCAGTTGCATCCCTTGGAATGCTGCTGGGAAATTTCCGTAGCCAAACGTGCTCTTTGTGTGTGTTCGTTTCTTAGTGCCGCCGCATTGTGGAAAGCATTTGGACATCGTACAGTGGACACAAGTGCCTCTTGTGTCGGATGTTGACCATCTCTTGTGAAGCAAGGGGTGAAAGATTAGAAAAGGGCTGGAATCGCTGTTCAGACTCCCACAGCGTGCCCGCCGACCAGAGCACTCCATTCCCAGCTCCGGGCGCTGGACTTCCAAAACTCTGTTGGTGTCAGAGCTGTGCCAGCTGCCCTGGGGGTGCCAGGCTCGATTTATTCAACTGGAGTATGCTGTCGAAGGATTGTTACGCCCACACTGCCCCCAACGACGGGACGCCAGGTTTGAAGGTATCCGGGCTGCGAGGCTGTGGACACATTTGGAGAGCGACCAGCACGGGGCGGATGCACAATCAATGACGATGCCCACAATCTCGCGCACAATGAATCCTAGAGCGAGGTGCAAATTTAGTTGCTGTCCATGACCCATAGCTGCGCACCGTTTGGTTCTCGCCATGCCCAGGGGCGGACTGGAAGTCCAGGGCTGCTGCCTCCCAAAGCAGCCTTCCACGCAACCCTGGTGAGGCCACCTGGGCATATGCGTACTGCACACGCCCACTGTACCCATTCTACCTGGTTTTCAATTTCCATGAGATGCTTGGGAGACAACAGTGAGGATGCCAAGACCGCCATTCTTGTGTTGACGCCTGGGCTTGTTTTGCTTGTGTTGACAAATGCGCTGCAAGGGTTCACACACAGCTCGAAACTGCGCTCAACTGTGGTTTGCGAAGTCCGCTGCTGTATAAGTCAGACACAGCACTGTCCCAGCATTCTTGCATGTGTGTGCCACCATGTGCAAACTGGCCACTTGCAAGCTTCACACAGCACGCAAGCTCATGTGGCTAACTGGAACTCTCCCAACATGGCTGCATCCCCAAAATTGGCTGACCCAGCCATTTGGCAACTGCTTGCCAGGCTGGCAAACGCGTAATCCACAAGGAGGTTCAAACTGCCCCATTCCAGGGCCAACTGTTTGCAACACTGTTCAGCGACACAACCAGGTACAACTGATAAACATCCTTGTACGATCTACTTTCCCAACTTCACAAGGTATGTCAACGTTCGAACAGCGCAACTGGTGCCCAAAGGACTGCAGCCTGTAGTATACTTCATCGCAATCTGCGTCTGTCTGGTATCCCAAGTGCCCTGGGTGACAGACCAGTGCCTGACAATCCAATGCCGCCCTTTCAAGGGACTCTGCAGTTTCTAACCTACTCACACTAGGACCCGCCCATGCCACATCGGTGTACTATGAGAGTATTGAACCCCAACAAATGCTACGTAGGAAATCTAAGTGCAGTGATGCAGAACCCAGAGCGACAACCCAGCAACCTGACAATCCTGAATAAATTTAGTCTAAACAAGAGAAGCCAAACTCTTTACGCGGAAGCCATGCTACCCACCACGAAAATATCCATCCCCCCGACCACCTAAAAGACCTCCTGATCTGGACGCTTGACAGCCTGTTCAGATCAATCACAGTCCATCGGCGCGAGCAGCAGTGGACGTCCCCACCTCTAAATGGCACACGAACAGGGGACGACGGATTGAGCCAGAGTTCAGCAGAACAGTGCCAACGGGCGAGCCTACGACTATTCTGCCTGGACGAAGACTGCACACCCCAACACCACGACGGCCACCAACAAGTCACCCCACTGTGTGTGTGAAATGGTCTCTTGTGCTCTGCTCCCGACCAACATCCCAGACACCTGCCCCCCTGTGGCAGCCATCCCCCCAGTCCACCCAACCAGTGGGCGCTGGGCAGATCCACCACCACCCCCGCCAGAGAAAAGCGTCCTTTACACGTCCAACGCCCGCGGCACGCCAGTCGCCACCCCACCTAGCCGCTTGCCCGCCTCGGAGCATGCGGCGCCCAAGGGATAAGAGAGCCACGCAGGGAGTGACAACACCTCAGCGGCGGGGTCGCGGCCACGACCCATGCAGATGCCTTCCGCCCCCGCCGCTCCACCCACCCACGGCCGCCAACCCTCGCAGCCCGCGAACAGACATCCCCGGCATCATCAATCCCCGTCCAATCAAGACGACGCCTCCCCGTGGGTCCGTCCCGCCATCCCAAAACCTGTGAGAGGTACCCCACAGACATCCCGCCTCTTCCCATCCCCGTTGAAATCCCCCCACGAGCCTCCTCCGCCCGCCCTGCCTGGCCTCATTCCTCCCCCCGGTCCGGCTCCCCCTCTATCAAGCCCTCCTCCGGCCCCTCCTCCCCCTCCGGCCCCGGCGTCTCCGCCATCCGCTGCCGCTCCTCCGCGTACTGCAGCAGGTCCTGCAGCGCTGCCACCTCCCGCGCCATCGCGCCGTTCTCCTCCTGCAGCCGCGCCTTGTCCGCCAGCAGCGCCGATATCTGCTCCTGGTCCTGCTCGATTATCCGCTCGACGGAGGACGCCGCGCCGCCCCGCATGGCCGCGTTCAGCCGCGAAAGCTCGTCGCACCTCGCCCGTGATGCGGCCAGCTCCTCCCTCAGCCGCTCGACGTCGGCGGCCAACGCGCTGTGCTCCGCGTCCAGCCTTTGCAGCATCTCAATCCCGGCCCTCAGATAGGGCACCTCTTCCGGGGGGAGTTCCACGCCGGCTCCCAGCCACTCCAGGCACTGGTCCACGCCCCCCAGGAAAGACAGCAGCCCCTTGATTGTCCCCCACTCGACAGTGCTGAAGATCGCCTGCGCGCGCGCACCCACGGCGCCCAGCGCGCAGGCCGCCGCCCGCCGCGTCCTCGGCGTGGGCACCGCCTCCTGGCCTTCCGCTTCCCCGCCGCCCCCCTCCCGCCCGCCCCTGGGGATCCAGCCCAGCGCCCGCGAGAGCGTGAGGGGCCCCACGACCGCCAGGGCCAGGCACAGGGCCCGATCCCGATTGGAGTCGGGCATCCAGGTCCAGGTGGCGCCCGGGGGATCGAAGGGGGAGGCAATCGAGTCTCGCCTGGGGCTCAGCCGGCGCGGGCGGCCGTCGCGGCCCGACGCGGCGCTCAGAACGCTGACGGCGCCGAAGAGCAGCCAGAAGGCGACTTCGAGCATCCGGCCGCCCTGATGAGGGGGCCCCTCATCCATCCCCCACAACGAGGCCCACTCTTTCGCGCGAGGGGAGGCGAGGAGCGGCCAGTGCGCGATCCCGGGCTTAGTCAACCGTGGTACGGCAGGTTGGGAAGTCCAACCAAGCGGGCAGAATTGGCGCAGGGTGGTTCCGCGGGTGAGGCGGTTGAGCCAGAGCCCCGCCTTTTGGGCCGCCTTCCTATATCGAAAGCGAGAGTGGCGGAGCTGGGGTGGCCGTCCTCGGCGGGCCGACGCCGCGGCCGGTGCTGAGCGTCGGTGTGTGTCGAGCGGACCAATTTAGTGTGACAATTGTGCGGCGAAGGTCAGCGGCGGCGGGCGCGCAACTGCTTTCGGCGTTCCGGAGGCGCGGGGTCGAACGTCCGGGACTCAACAAACGCGTGAAGAAATCCGGCAAGGCCGTTTGGCGGGCGACGCGGCGGGAACCTGCAGCCGCCGCTTGGGAGCACGAAGGCGTGGAGGTTCATCGGTGAGGCGATTGAACCGCTGCGACGCCGCCATGGGCTTGAACAGCGTGCGTGCGGGCATGCTTGAGCAGGCATCTACGCACCCGCCGCACACAGTCAGGAGCGGTGCTCCGCCGGTGATCTGGATTGCAGGGAGGTCACAATCAGCCCGGCCCAGGGCACCGACGTCTCTCCAATCCCTCCCGCCCCCTCCCCTATCCCTGAGCGCTGAATTTTCGCTCAAAACAGACCCACCCTATCGCTTTCTCTTTCCCTTCCCCCTTTGTTTCCTCAGCGCTGCGTCCGACGCCCTCTTGAGCATTATCTTCTTCGTGTTCTTCCCGTTTCGACCGGCGCCCCTCTGGCGCTTGTCTGCCTTCATCCGGTAGTCCAGGCGCTTCCCCTGCTGCTTGTGCCGGTCGCTCCTCCCCGGTTTCTTCTTCTTCTTCTTGCTGTACTCCGAGGCTCGAGCCTTGGCCAGCAGTTTCTGGACCTGCCTCATCCTGGAGCCCGCGGAGATGTCCTCCTGGCCCATCACCGCCTCGGCCTTCTTGCGGGCGGCGTTGAGCCGGTTGACCAGGCGCTTTCTCTTCCTTGCCTTGGCCTCCGCCACCCTCTTGATTGGGCGGGCGTCAAGGGCGCGCACGATTTCCTTCTGCTCCTCGATCTCTTGCCGGGAAACGTGGCGAACGGGCCTGAGAAGTAAACAGACGGCTGATGGGGGCCAGTGCAGGGAACCCACAGCAAGCGCCTACAGCAGGCGTTTGCACTTTTGCATGCTCGATTCTTCTGGAGTACAGTGCTCACAGGTGGCTCTGGACCAGCAGACACTGCTGATCACAGGCGGGATTTCAGCTGCCAGATGGGCTGCTCTGTGCTGGCTTATTGATATGCAGGCCAGTAACGCAAACATTGTCACAACACCACTGTGTCGTGGTCTATAATAAAGTGACGTGCAAACTGCACATACTTCCAGCAATGTTCTTGTCAGTGTTTCATTGTGGCAGGCTGGGTTCAAGTCAACCTGCATGCTCACCTCATGTTCCTCTTTTCATCATCAACAAACCACTTGGGGAGGTCAGTATCATGGAAATTGTAGCGATTGTAGGCCGCCTCTATTATTCTCTCTTTGTCGCTCCTCTTCAGGAACTTTTTCGCCATGGCAAGCACCTCAGCCTTGCCCTCTTCATCCAAGGCACGGAACTCATCATCGATATCACTGCCAGAAGACTGAGAATCTGGTTCATGGACGACCTCGAACCCATCTGTTTCGTCAGGCCTCTTGCCAGCCGCCGCTCTGCGAGCAGGATCCCCATAGTCGCTGTCATTGTCTGATTCCTGCAAAAAAAGACAATAATGTCACTTGGCCCTTAGCAGAGCATCATCCAGTTGATGCAAACATCATTCCTTGCAGCAAAGAGGAAGACAAGTACGACCATGGGCAGCCCCTTGTGAGGATCTCTTCCCTGCTGTGAAGAAGATCCAAAAGTGTCCAAGGGCAACAGGGAAGCACCTAATTCACACCACCGCGCGCCACTTCGAGTTCAGACCAATGGAAGCACTTTGTCTCGACAGACACACATAGTCTTTGTGTAGTTTGTGTAGTTCGTGTTTGTGTAGTCTTTGTGGATCTAACAAGAGCGATGAAATCGCTTGGTTCATGCATCCAGTGCAACGCTCAAAAGGTGGGCCGATCTGCCTGGGAGTCTACAAGCTGAGCTGCGAAACTCCACCGAGCCCAGAGCAGACAGCGCTGCAGCACTACGGCAAACAATTGGCAAGGGCCAAGACGTCCATTGATGGATGACAACACAGAAATGCACCGCCCTCTTTGCATTCCTGCCTGATCCGTTGCTTCCCCTTCACCATCCTCCACAAGCTCCTCTTCCCCTGAGGGGACAGTAGCCACGCCGCCCACGGCATCAACTCTGGGGACCTCATTGCCCAACTGCTCCAAAACTGTGCCCATACGTCTTCCTGCTGCTTGGTACTCCTCCACATCCCCATCCTCTTCCTCCCCTTCCTCCTCTTTCTCCCCATCTTCTGCGCCCTCGTCGTCAGCCTCCTCGTCATCATCCATAAGATCTTCATTCTGGAACAGTTCCTGGCTGAACCATTGAGCTGAGACAGCCCTCGCTGACTTGGGCCTCCCGGCCTGCACACCATCGAGTGTGGCCACCACCAAGCCGCCTCCATCGATTGGCGGCTCACTGGCAGGCTCAGGTGCGCTCTGCAGCAGCCTCTCATATCTGACCTCATCCTGGCTGCTGCCACTAGAGTCATTTACAAGTTCCCCATCGGCACCGAGGCGGCGACGCTTTGATGGCCGCTTCGCTGTGTCTTTGATTCCCTGCAGCAAGCCAACGCAGGACACAGATTACCAGGGATGCTTTGCAAGGATGCCAGTATTTACAATGTGGGACGATAGAATCCAGGCCACAATTCAGTAAACCTGCAAGTCGATTTGTTGCGCTGTACACTGTCGACTGGTCGAACAACCACAAACTAACATGCCTTCACAACTTCCACATCCAGCGCAACTCCAACCTTTTCACTGTCTCATCCCAGCCTACCAACGAGCTGATTTCTGATGTGCAGCAATGCTATTTCCTACATGATCTGGCAACAGGACAGCCTCCAATGCACATCACTGCGCCAGATGAATCTCATGACACTCGTTGCCTGAAGCAACAGGTACACTTTGTCCATGACTATTCCAAAAACAACATCTCTGTTTCCAGTTGGATATGTTGACTGGAAACAGAAACCAGTAGGCCCACAGAAAGTGACACCTGTTGATGCGATCAGTGCTTGACAACACCTGGCAGACAAGATATTGGTTGACTCGTTATGTTCTCAACAATAATTGCAAATAAGCACTGTGAGAAAATTCAAACTAGCAATGGACAACATGACCAATGGTAATATGCTCTTTGAATACCCCTCACCCCCTGAATGACGAAATCTTCTCATTCCCAAGTTTGTACTATCAACCTTGCGGCCCATCCTCTCTGGAGGCTGACAACGCATTGCATTTACTCTCGAGGTGCAACAGGCCCGTTTTTAGTGCCTCTTCTTGGAGGTGGGGGGAAGGGGGTGTGGGGGAAGGGAAGCATTGGAGGGACAATTGATTTTCCATGTGACGTAATACTTAAGATTCAAAAGAAATGGAAGCATGAACGTACCAAGGGACACTCACCCGCCGGTCCATGAATCGCTTGTACGAGCCGTCCAAGTACTCCTCCATCAACGTCTCATACCGCAGCCTGTCCTCCTCAGAGTCATACCCATCTTCATCTCCCTCGCTCTCTGCTTGGCCCTCGTCACTGCTTTCGTCAAGCATGTCCAGGTCCTTGGTGGACAGCGGTGCTGCGTCATTCACCAGATCAATATGCTTGCGGCTCTTCAACACGTCCAATGTGAACAGATCCCCCTCCTCCGGCAGTTCGACAGCCCCCTCTGCTGCTTCGGCCATCTTTGCCTGCCAATGGAAAGGCAAGTCAGCAATGTTCAAGATGTGTTAACAAGGGGAACGCGCCACCAAAACACGAGTGCATTGCACCTGCTGGCGCTGTCAAGCACTCCTAACATGCTCAAATCCTTTGATTGCATTTGTCACTTAAACATGGCAAAACACTGCCCTTGCACCTTAGAGGCGATGTTGGGCTCCGAACATGCACAAGTGTTGTTCTTCAAAGGAAAGGAAATATGCAGCAAGGGCAGGTTGAGCAGGCTGAATGCAGTTCGCACAACAATCTGAGCATTGCTGTTGTTGTTGTTGATCAGATATCAGCCAGCTGCAGCACTGAGACAAGGTCGTGTACCTGACCATCTGAGTGCCATGATGGCGTTGGTAATCGCAAGTGCTGCGAACTGCTTGCTGGCATGCCTCACACAATCTGACCCCCCACGTGTTATCACATGTTCACCATTATATTGCAGAAATAAGGTATGAATCCAGGGAAATTCATGTTGCACTGCTCACAGATAGGTATGGGGGACATGCACTGCCTGAAGCCATGACACACAAACATGCCTGAAGCTGTTGATACATGAGTGTGAAAGGATCCTTAATTGGTGGCTACACAATATTTGCACCAGTGCCCAGTATCTGTAACTTCTGGTCAAAGGGAACTCAACGACGGCATCAACCATGCGCTGTGCATGCATATTATGCAAATATGCCCATTGTCGCTGTTCCGCTGTTACAGCAACATTTTGTCTCTTTTCCACCAATGTAGTCGACTATCTTGGAAAAGCAACAGCATCCCATCACCTGCACGAAGCATATTGGCCAAGCATGCAGAAGGCATTACACTGCAGCTGGAGCGGGATTGTTGCAATACCCACCATCTTGATTTTGGATGCCTTCTTATCTTTTCTTAGTCGCTTTTTCTCTTTTTTCGTCCTTGCCTCCATGCGTTCCTTAATCTTGGCCATCTCCATCAGCAGCTGGTTTTCGGGATCCTCTTCCTCCCTTTCCTCTGGCTTGCCCTTGGCTGGCGCCTCTTCTTTATCTTTGCCAATGGCAAGGGCTTTCTTCATGTCCATTTGCCTGCCAGCATCAACACAAACATATGCAATGCTCACATCAGCACCATATGTGCAACTGCCTTTCTACAGCATGCACCAATGCGACCCCTCTTGAGCGAGATAGTCTCACAAGATTCCACAATGAGCTCCCTCCCATTAAAATGCTCCCCTCACTCTGTCCACCTGCACATGGTAGCTTGGCAATCTCCAGTTCAGTAAACAGCGAACAGTAATGCAAAAAGGAAGGGAACACGTGCATTGGTTGATGAACTATTGCATCTTTACACACAGCGCTTGCTGACACAACATTCACGGCCCATGTCCCTACTCAATGCACACAATCTAGTGCTGACAGTCTACGATGCTCTCACAGTGATGCTCAACCTCTCCTAGATATACAGGGTGGAGCAAAGCGCTGGCAGCCATCTTTGCTCACCATTTAAGCAGCGCCTTGAAGTCCTTTCGACCAAGGACCTTCAGGTCGGCACACAGGCTGCGAATCTCCTGCGTCGTTTTCGGGTGCATCCGAACAACATCAAGCATGCTCTCCAGGTCTCCATCTCCTCTTGGCACGAACCCCACATCCGCACCCTGGCCTTCAAGCGCAAACTGTGTACACTGGCCAAGCAGCTCGATGGGTGCCTGGGAGTGGATGAATGCAAGCACTGACACACGCTTGAAGGTCGTTGAGACGCCATCTTCGTAGCCCCCACGGTGTCGTGTTTGCTGGGTCAGCTGGAACAAGTTTCCAGAGGCCCCAACCTTTGGCACTTCAGTGAAATCCTGCAGGCAAAGAGCACGAGACAGGGAATCACAAGGGAATAGCACTTTTGCTGTTGGCTTGACCTCAGGCACCTGACCGAACTGACATACTGAAACAGAAGTGCCATGAACATGACTCGAGTCTGATGGATAACTTTGGGGAGGCAAAACCTTGTTCTCAGCCGAAAGTACTTGAAGAAGACCAGGGTCCAAGGACCAACCATGATCCAAGATCCTGCAGTGGCAAATCAACGCACATGCGGTAAATGATATGAACCCAGTGGGCAACTTCAACACACCGCAAATTACCTGCCAAATATATGCTTAACATCAGGTCGGATATTGGCCAGTCATGCATTCGCATCGTGCCACATGTGCACTTGTGCCTCACTAGAAATGCTACTTTTAACCTGAGCCATTGGCAAATTGGGAAGTTCTGTTGAAGTTCCAACCAATGCAACAAGGCTGGATGCAATCAAGCCAACAAGCGCACAACAAGCTTGGCAAATCGTTATCCAGTAGGTAGGGCACACACAAGGTAGGCACTCCTGGGCCCTTTCCCACCTGGAACAGGTGCTTTGGGTCTAATAGCCTGGGGTCAATCTTTCCCGGTGCCTTGTATCCCTGGCACACCACAAAAATCTCTGCCGAGGAGTGCCTTGAGGCTGTTGGCTTGGTGGCCTCCACCTTCTGGAAAAGCTGGCGGCATGCGTACAGCAGGGGGTTGTAGTCATTGGAGCGGAAAACCTTGGTTACAAACCACCCCTTGGGTGCCAGAAACTCTGTTGCCAGCTTCAAGGACTCCAGCACAAGCACAGCCTGGACAGGTGTCAAACAGGAAGGATCATTGTGGATTGAAACAAAATGCAACCACAATCGGCAGTGACACCAGGTATTTCAGTTGTTGGAATCCACAATAATGCCGGTGTCAAATAGACTGTTGGCACCAGCACTTCAGTGTGGACCGTGTGGTCCTGAATCAGTGGTGAATGGGACAAAACAAACAAAACGATGTGCAATTACATATATATGCAGGGGTCGTGTACAGCAGGTAAAATGAATCAGGGTCAACTAGGAGTACCACACAAGCATGCATAAAGTGCTGTACCCACTCAAAATGAAAGGCTGAAGACGAATTCTGTGTTGGGTGATCCCCACATGGTGCAAATGGAGAACCATGTTGTTGTTGAGGCAATTGGCACCAGATCTGCAGCACACCTGTGACAGGGCTTCACTAGTCCAAGCACCACCAACATTGGGAGAACCATCGTGCAGCACAACGTCGAAACGGCCACCAGCTGCTTCTTTCTTGATTGTGTGCCGACATTTTTCAGTTGTGATGTCACCAACGAACGTCTTCACACCCCTTATCGGCCGAATGGGTGCAAGATCCACACCCAACACCAGGCTGCTCACAGGGAGCTGTTTCGACACCACTTGAAGCCAGCCACCTGTGTGCACAAGGCAAAGAACTTCAGAATCTCCGGCAATGGGTGGATCCCGTGGTGGGGCTTGTGGGTCCATAGGGGGGGGCATCGGCCTCGTAGCATAACCACCTCTGCAAAAATACGGAGTTGCATCGAACTGTTGGCTTGTACGTCGGTCTGGAAGGTGGCAGTCCTTGGGAGGGCCTTTGCAGACACTGCTTCAATGTGCCATTGGCAACGGACTGCCAGGACAGCAAGGCCAGAGTTCAGGGCCTACAGCCGCGGCAGCACCCGCGTTCAGATTGCAGCAGGTCATTCACACAGACTGAAGTGGCTGTCTGTGATGCTTGCGTGACCTCCCGCTGCTGCGACTGCACTCGAAGAGGCCGTGGTCGACTGCCATTCACAAGCTTCACTGCTTCCACCGTTTTTGCCGAAAATTTGAAACATTATTGTTTTGCAGAGGCTGCAACGGCCTGGGGTATCCATTGTTGCACGATTGGTGTCGCCGGAAAGCCGAAGGAGACTGCACCGGACGCGAATGGGCGGCGGATGACGACTGTCGGGAGATGGGCTGACCCAGCGATCTGGGGCGCAATGCCACCTAGAATAACCGGCAGCAGACTTGCCTGGCGCGGCACACAGGTCGAGCACGGCTCTGCAGTTCGACAGGAACTGGTACTTCCTGTTGAGTTGGATCAGCTTGAAGGCGGCTCGAGAGCGATACCTGCAGGGCAGAGCGAGGAATAAGGCTGGGCGGGGCGCGGCGGCAGCATCGAGGACACGCGGGTGGCGTCTTTGGTGCCATTTCGGCGGCGCAATGGGCCCAAGAGGCGAGCGCGAAACAATCGAAAGGCAAGGCGACGGACACGAACTGGAGGCGGCGCTGGCACTACCAACGGTGGGGGAAAGATGAACGCGGCCGCACTACGGGGAGTCAACGACACAGGTGAATGTGCGCAGGACAGACATCGGCGCAAGGAGGCGATGCAAAGTCTCAGAGCGCGAAAACACAGAGAGAATCGCAGGTAGGCGGCCAAACAAAAGCAAAAAGCAGGAAACTCTCAACGAGCCACGGGACCAGGCGTGGCATCGGCGGCTCACCCTTGCTCCTTGGCCAAGTGGTAGAATTTGTCCAGGCGATGCTTTCCTTTGGCCTTCCTGCGCGCCATGTTGAAGGCGCAAGCGGCCTGCGGGCGGCACGGGCCTCCGCCGCTTGTAGAGCAGGCTCCCCGCACCCGCCAACCCCTTAAACTACAGCAGCCGACACAAAATCCTACAGGTTGGGCCCGCCGGGCCCACTAGCGGCATTACAAAAGAAAGAAAACCAGGCGAAGGGCGGAACCCCGATGGCATCTGCTCGTCGGCATGCTGACCGAATTGGCGCCCCTGCGGTCGCTGCTGTCCAGCCTGTCCGCCTCTCGGGGCGTCCTGCTTGGCCTGGAAGGCTGCTGTCACCGCCTGTGGTCCGGCCTTGACCGGGTCGACGCCCAACGGCGCCATGCCATCAGCTCCTCTGCCCCCCGGCTGATGGGTCGCAAATCTTTGAAGATCGCGGGCCGGAAGGTGAGTGATCACATTCCCTGTCAGATCGGACGCTCGCTGATGCCCTTGCTGGCAAATCTCGTCGCGAGATTGGGCGCCGTTGACTTGAATTGATTGGAGTTGTGCTTGGACGTCGTGTTGACACAGACCGCGATGGACGAGCGGCGAGCCAAGCTTTACGGGAAATACGGCAAGCTCATCTGCCAAGCGTAAGGATGCAGTTTTAGGGACCTCCTGGGATCGTTGGCAGCGGGCCGCGTTGGTCGCTGATGGCGGCTTGGCATCTTCACAGGGCAAGGAAAAATGGGACGGACCCGTTGACAAATTTGCGGCTGAGGGACGTGCTTGAGGAGGCCAAGCGGGCCTACGTGCCAAAGGTGCAGACGGCGGGCTTCAGTTTGGGGCCAAGTTGAATTAGCGCCGAAAATGGGGTGTAGTACTGAGGAACTAGAGCAAGGGGAGTTGTCTAAAGTCAGGAATGGGATGCCCTTCTGCATTGATGAAAATGTCTTGTTGAGACAGTGCGCAGCTTCTGGGCATTTGTGATTTGTGACGGCAATAGACTGGGCCAGATGTGTGATGCAATCCACTTCTGTTGCAGCTTCCCAAGAAGGAAACCATGGCATGCGCTCCTTCTCAGGCGTTTGCAGGCAGTATGCGTCCACATTGTATGCTTGCTCCACGATGGAACACATTTCCTCGCATGTGCTGACAATAGCAGTGCTTCTGAAGGTGCTACTCCTGTTGCTTCAGGAAATCATCGATAGAAACATGAACAAGGCAATGGACAAAAGCCAAGGGGACTACCAAGAGGTGCGCAGATTCTGAGTGGCTACTGTCATGCCCAGCAGCCTAGCTGGGACTCTAGTGCTTGGCTAACCTGCAATGACAGGGCTTTGAATAAAGTGCGTGCAGCACCTGGCGCTCAGTATTTGGGCCATTAGTACCTTGGTGCCCAGTACCCTAAATCAATACTAGCCCTTTGTCCCCATAGTGCCAGAAAGGGTGTTCCATGTCCAATCACTGAAAAGGATCCTCATTCTTGGTTGATTCTGTGCTCTGCATTGGTTCTTGTCTGTTGTGTACTGTTGCCCTTTGCACTGGGAGATTGTGCATCATTTTCAACAGTGTGAAAGAGGCACCAGATAGGATGTTTGTGCAGGCAACAGGTTGCCAGTCAAAGGCAAATTCTGGATGTCTCTGATGAGCAAATGGAGCTGAGAATCTTCGCAACCTGTGGAGGATGATTGCCAAGTCCTGGGTGCATTGTGAAATTCACTGCTGAAATGATGGATGGGCAAGGGAAATGTACCATTGTTTACAGTTAGCTGTTTTGATTTCCAGACCCAGTGCAGTCCATTGACTACCATCAAGATCTGCTCTTTGCACTCTGCAAGTGACAGTGCCAAGTGACATGCACACAGAAATGCTGGGAGGGAAAAACACCATTTGCCAATACTCTTTTTTCCCACACTTCATAATGCGCAGGTACGCTGTTTCAGGTTGTGTATGAGGCATATGGTCCTGGTGGCACAGGGTTCATAATGGAATGCCTGACTGACAACCTGAACCGGACAGCATCGGACATCAGGGCGATCATTGGGCGTGCTGGTGGCAAGGTGATTGGGCTGTGCAGGTGCTGTGGCAGCAGCTCTCAAAGTGCACTTGTGTGCAGCAGCAGTGCATGCTTTAAAGTACCATCGATGCAGCAAAATTGCACCTCAACATCAGTCCAAGCTGTAGCATGCAGACATGTGGGCACAGCAGATTTGTTTCAGCAACAGTGGCACATGGAGCAGCCTCGGTACTTTTCTGTAGTGCCCCACAGTTGGGTGGACTGTGGTGCCACTGCAGCCACTGGATCTGGCTGGTAATGCTTTGCCTCTTGCTCACTAAGAAAGGAGAAACAAAGGAACGAGATGCAGGCAATCAGTATGTGTCTGTTCCTCATGGCCTGCAGCAAGCAAGCAGCCAGCTTTGTCTTGTGAAGGCAAATATCGCACAAGAAGCTTTGCACAGAAGAAATGTTGATGGCTTGAGATTCAACTTTCCAACCTTCCACCCTTAGAAACACATAGTAAATCTCACTGTGCTTTGTGATGCACCCGTGCATATCAAACAAGCGCATATGCTGCATAGGCATGCCCTGTCCCTTGATCTGTTATAGCACAGAGTCAGTTTGGTTCACCTGCACTGCTGGTGCAGTTGCTCCTCGGGAGATGTTGTGTCTCCTCTGAGCTATTGCTGGCTGTGCACTCTCTTTAAAATCACCTTGTTGTGTATGTGCTGAACAGATGGCCAACAAAGGAAGTGTCTTGTTCAATTTTGAGCGCCTTGGAACTGTGATGGTTGAAGGTCACGATCTCAGGGAGGAGCAAGTCCTAGAGTGTGCCATGGATGCTGGTGCACAAGATGTCAAGACGTGTGGATTGAATAGATTCAAGGTATGAGGCACTGATATTAAAGAGAGCATGACCTTGCAGGCCAGCCTGCTGAACTGATTAGTTGTGATGCAGTTTGTTCTTGGTTGCGAGTGTGCTTCTCGTAGACTGTGTATCACGCTTATGAGCAACAATCCTTCTCAACCTTTTGTGCTTCTAAGATATGGCTTGGCAGTCATAAAATCTTGAGTGCATTGTGAAATTCAAACTGACCTATTGTACAGCAACAGACATGTATGGGGTGTGTGTGAGCGAGGCGATGCCCACATCAATACTCTTATCATGCCTTTTCATACTGCATTTGTTCAGTCAATCAGATCCAGTGTGTGGTTTACTGCTGTTTGTTAAGGATATTTCTTAGGGTGCCTGTGCGTCAGTGGAAGTCAGCATAGAATTTGTTATGGTGCTGGTGCAAATCTGTTGATTGATCCAAGGAAGACATGGTGCTCTTGGTTGATGTGCACGTGCTTGGAACTACCAGTATTTTTATTGGATCATGTGTAGTTTTAAGTCTCATGGGAGCTCAGGGGTTGGACATGCATGAGATTGGCTGTTTTGTTGATGGATTTCTGCCATGGCCAGTGCTAGGTTGATGCAAAGATTGTTTGAATAAGTGGCCGATTCTGCAAGACTGTCTCTGTCCATGCACGTTGGTTTCCATCCCACTGTGATTAGGGGCAGTGGAAGTTCCACTGTTCAACTGGGCTCACTGGTGGGGCACTAGAACTTGCCGCCCACAGGAGTCTTGGGCTTTTTAAGGGACCAAGGATGTGAGTGCAAGTGATACAGGGATATTTTGACGATCTATGAGGATGTTAAATGTTTGGACAATGCTCGGCAAGCATTACCTGATTGTTTTTTGTACAAGTTTTCATGCCCAGTGCATCTTGTAACTGTTGCCCAGTGCAGCTTGTAATGGTTGATTCATGTTCCACAGCAAGCACAGCTTCTCAATTTGCACTTTCAAATCTAGGATTGGTGTGTGGTTGATCCCAGCAATAACTCTTCTGATGCATGTGGCTGCAGATCTTGACTTCAATTGATGAGTACACGTCCATTATGGATAGATTGGCACAGAATGGTTTGCCTGTCATCGCCGACCAATGTGGGCTGGCATATGTACCAACAGTGGCAGTGCAGGCAAGGCGGAGCACATAGTGTTACCTAGTTTTTCAAGCAACTGCACAACACTGCAGCTGCAGAGCTAAAGTGCCACTGTGTGATTGTTGAAGAAACTGCAGTGATGACGACCTGTCTGACAATGACTTGTCATTAAATGTTTCCAGGCATTGATTGAGGAAGAATGCCTGGTCCTGTTACACAATGGTGGTTGCTTGTTCTTGTGTAGAGAGCAAGTTATGCTGTTTAATCGCATATTGGAACAAGAACGTCTTTCAAGAATGTGCTCATTAAACGTGTATTGTATTTGTGTATATGTACGTTGATTTATTAAGGTTGCATGGTTGCTTAGTGGATGACAATGTTATGCCTGCATGCTGCTACATCCTGATTGTGTCCGAATCTGCATTCTCATCTAACAGAGCATCCAGCCACCTGATACCGAAGCTGCTTCTTGCCCTTTGCAAGTAACATCTCCTGATCGAACAACAAAGAAAGCGAGGGAAGGCTGTGTCATGGTTGTTGTCAGTGTTAAATCAGATTAATTGGAGCATTGTTGAATAGAGCTACTTGGATGGAGCACAAGAAGTTTTGTGGCTGTCCTGTGTCGGAAGATCTTGAGAGGCAGGCCCACAGCCTAGGAGTGCCTTACCCGAATGGGGATGGTGCTGTTCACTAAAGCCACACAGAATTGTGGAAGAGACCCTGCTGCTGTGCTGCGATAAAAACTGCAAGCTCCAACAGGGTGTGTGCCCGTGTTCACCAGGTCTCAGGTGAGGACTTGGAAAGGAACCAGGCCTGCGAGTCGAAACTGCTCGCCCTTGACGACGTGGATGCAGTGTACACGACGTGCGAGGAGCTGTAGCACTGACTTCGGGCATACATGCTGCTGGCGCACTGCTGTCAAACCACCCCATCTGCAAACAGGGGCGTGTTGCGCATTGTGTAAAGCCGCTTTGATCAAATTGGTGATAAAGACGCCCAGCAGACATGGCAGCACCCCGGGGTCTTTTGACAGGCGCAGCCGATCCCCTGCTCGCTCCTCCGGTGGCTGGCACGATTGAAGGCGATCCAGGGACGGACATGGCGTCCCAATGCAACCCTGACAGGCTGCGAGTTCAGGGGGAGCGTCAGGGCTGGATGTGACATCCTTCGCCCTTCGCAGCATGACGCTGTCAATCACCACGCAACCGGGCAGGTCCATGGCCATGCATTTTTCAGTCGACTCAATGGTCGATGATAGCAAGGCAGCGAGCCTGTGCTATCTTGGGAGATGAGGCCAGAAATCAACAGAACACCAGGTCTTACAATCCGCAGCCCAGGCACAAACTCGGCCTACACTTGCCCTGGTCCCTACCAACAGCGCTCTGGCCCCAACCAAGCCCTCACCATGCTCTCTACACGCCAAACCCTTACGTGCCGGTACAATCCATCATTTAGTACATGAGACCTTGTCATAGCACACCGATTCTCGTCATGACAAAATAATCTCCACGTCATCCCAGCCCCACGTTGGCGAATATTCCTTTCACAATATCCTTACGTCATCTACACGACCCCATTACACTTCCAGGGCTTGTACTGCCCGAAATTCACATACGACCCACCTGACTATGGATAATTGTCAAGTCACATCACCCGTCACCTCAAGGCGCACCCTAAACATACACTAATACACCAATTCATGCCAAAGTACTTTCACAACTTGTTCCTTCAGTACCAATTAATCATCTATTCTACCTATAATCAACTCCAACAAAATACCAAATTACATGCAAAACGCCCTTCTTTTGTCACAAACTTTTTTCTGTCGAAACCTCAGTCCCGAGGTTACTTTGTTTTTAGGGAAATTGACAAAAGGGGGTCCTCTATGAGATATCTTGACAAATGGGGGTCCTCTGTGACAAAAAGGGGTCCTCTGACCGCCCCCTATACATTAGGTGCGTTGCCAGACCGGCGTCAGACCAGCGCCGTACCGGCAAGCCAGTCCTAATAGGGGCGACCCCGCAGAGGACCCCTTTTTGTCAAATGCACCCCCGTAGAGGACCCCCTTTTGTCAATTTTCCTCTAAGGGGTGTCGTAGGGGTTAGTGGGGACTTGGTGATGCCATTTAATGGCCCCCCCTTCCCCCCCAACCCCAACCCCACCTTTGGTGGATTCTAATATGAAGTCTGCAACACACAGGCTTTGAACAAGCTTTCGTGCAAAATGTCGGTAAGGTCCAAATAGGAGCATTTGTGCGCAGCATTGTTGTTATGTGATTATTTTGGCGAAACGGTTGTGCGCAGGACTGGACGTCTGAAAATGGACGTGTTTGTGCGAAATATTGTTGCATTTGAGTACACAACAAACAGTAGAGGGAGAACGCATTTACAACACACGTTCAGCGATACACAGCACAATCTCAAAAAAGTGGTTACAAAAAAATTTACAGCACAACGTCAGCTCCCAAGTGGGGAGTCAACACCCACCGACCCTACCCCTCCGAACAGCCCAACAACCTCTACCATCCGCCGCGCCGCCCCTCGTGCTCGCACTCCCCTGGCGGACCACACCACCCCCCCCCGCCATCCACCTCGTCCCGGTACCCCACCCCCTCCCCACCCCACCGCCCTTCACCCCCCCCTGCCAAACCACCACCCCGGGCCGCCCTGTCCCCCTGCACCCGGCGGGTTGGCGGCCGGCATGGCGCGTGCGTGGGCCAAGGCCGGTCGGGAGCATCCCACCGCATATCCACCCCACTGGGGGGGGCGGAGCACCCGCCGGCCCTCCGAAAAGCCTCCATGAAAGTGTCGAGGAGGCCGGGGCTGCCCACGTGGTCAATGGCGCCCCCCCGCCGGATCAACTCAGCAGACGGCCGACCGCCGCCCTCCGCTGCCACGCCAGCCGCCCTCGCACCCGCCGCAACGCCTCCCCCCGCAAGTCCACCCGCCCCTTGGAGGTGGCCATGGCCGGAGGGGGAACGGGGACGCTGCGCGGGCCCCGGCGGCACCGCCGGCCCCCGACCCAGGGCGCGGGCGGACCCACCCACCGCCAGGCCCACCATTGCGGTGGCGGCACAGGCGGCGGCCACGGGGCCGCGGGGCTCCGCGCCGGTGGAAGGGGGGCCCGCCGTCACCCAGCACCGCCGACCCTTGTTGAGCCAGCAGGCCTTGCAGCCGAAGACGAGTTCGGCGGGGGTGACGGCGGCCTTGTACCAGGGGCAGGCAGGGTGGACGGTCCGCCCGTGCTCGTCCCACCGCCCAGCGCATCTCCAAACGTCCCCCCAGGAGGGGACGCGCATCCTCAGGGTGAGGGAGTCTCTGCGCCACCGCAAACAAACACGTTCAGTACGGCATTCCTCGGCCACTGGGGGATCCTTTGCGCGCGCCGAGCGCGCAAACAGAGGAAAAAAAATCGAAAATTGCCAAAGAAATCAAAAAAATGTTTTTTCTATTCACTCCCCTTGGCGGCTTACTCCCCCCTCAGCAGCCGCAGACACCCTTTGCGCGCGCTGCGCGCGCAAACAGAGGAAATAAAAATTCGAAAATTGGTAGGGAAATCCATTAAATGGATTTATGTATTCTCTCCCCTTTCCGGTTTACTCACCCCCCCTCAGCAGGTTCCTCCTCAGAGGGGGCGATGGGTGGCGCCGCCGCCTCCGGCGGATCGGGGGCCGCGGCTGCCCGGCGCGAGGGGCCTGCCCCGTGCCCCCACTCACTGGCCGCCGGCGGCGGGGCGCTGGCAGCGCCGCCCAGGGCGCGGGCCGGGCCACCGGCCACGGTATTGAGGCCGGGGGGGCGGGCCAGGGCGGGCGCCATGCCGGCGCTGCCCGCCGCGCCGGCCGGCATCCTTGCCGGGGCGGCAACACCGACGCCCCCGGCCCCGCCCGCCCCGGCCGCTCTCGCCGCGGCCGCCGCTCTCACAGCCGCTGCGCGCGGCCCCGCCTCACGCGCACGCGCGGCGAGGCTCGTCGCATCCGCCCCGTCGTCCGGGGCGGCGCCGGTCACGGCCCATGGGGGGCTGCCCACCCATTCGGGGCACGCCCCGCTGGGGAGGCGGTCAGGGGCGGAGCCGCGGTTCACGCGCCCGTCCGCCATTCGGCTGCGATCGGCGATTGGCGGCCTGCGGCGGGGGGCGTGGTGGGCCTGGGCTGGGGCGGAGCGGAGCAACTGGTAGCGAATGGCCACGGGCGTCTCCATAAATACCCGCCACCGTTCCGCGACGACGTGACGTGTCGATCCTGCGAATCTCAAGATCTGCGAAAAAGCGAATGTCAAGATCCTCCAACACCAACCCTGCGCGGTCGGCTACTTATTCCGCGACACCCCCCATTCGCAGCATAGCCCCCAACCCGCCGCAGCCAGAGCCGCCGCCCAAGCCCACCATGTCGCCCAAGAGGACGTTCGCGCGGAGGGCCAAGGTGCGCGACCCACGAGAGGGAGCGAAGGGGGTCGGGGGCCGGCGCGGTCTGTGGGGCGCGGGGGGGCGCATGGGGGGGGGGGGAGGGTGAGCGGTGCGGTGGGGCGGTGTCGCCGCGGGTGCGCATGCGGCGCGGGGCGAGAGGCCGGTGCAGAGGGGGTGGGAGCACCCGCGCGTGGCGGGCGCCGCAGCACCCGCGCGCCCGAGTTCGCGCGCGTGCGCATGCCGCGCCAGCGCGGATCCGGCAGCACAGTGGAAAGTTCCAGAGCCTTCGAAGAGCCCATGCGCGAAGGATGGGGGGGGAGGGTGAGCGGTGCGGTGGGGCGGTGTCGCCGCGGGTGCGCATGCGGCGCGGGGCGAGAGGCCGGCGCAGAGGGAGCGGAAGCCCCCGCGCGTGGCGGGCGCCGCAGCACCCGCGCGCCCAAGTTCGCGCGCGTGCGCATGCCGCGTCAGCGCGGATCCGGCAGTACAGTGGAAAGTTCCAGAGCCTTCGAAGAGCCCATGCGTGAAGGGGGGGGAGGCGACGCAATACTGACACACTTTCTTGAGTCGGACATGAGTAATGGAATGAAAAGGAATATGATGAAATAACGCGTGGGTCCCAGCCGTAGCCGTTTGCGTGCGCCGCGCGCGCAAACGGCACCGAACGAGCACCGACCGCCGCAACGCTGCCATCCCGGGTCTCATTGTCAGCTGCGGGACAGTTGGAACGCGTTCAACAGGGACCCGACGCAGCGGAACGGTATTCGAAACGTGGGGGTTTGCGCGCGCCGCGCGCGCAAACTCCCTGCCAGAGGAGCAGCTGACGTCGAAAGAAACCATTGTCCATCACTCGATCTGTCTGTGTCCTGGTCGGCCGGTTGACGAACAGGCAGCACGAAGGGGGGCGGGCACCACGCATCGCCGGGAGCGAGTTTGTAGCCGACAGCAAGGACCGTCAGTGTGTAGCTTGCGCGCGCCGCGCGCGCAAGCTACCTTGCTTTGCCACCTTCATTCGAAGGTTCTGTGTCGGCAGTCGACAACTTGCAAAGAGTTTTCTGACCGTTCTGCAGGGCGAAGTGTACAAAGAACCCAAGAGGCGGCAGACAGCGATCACAGACAGTATGCGCACCAAGAGGAGGACGGAGGCTGCCGGACCATCGGCGAACGTCGAGGTCGACACGCCTATCCACGTGGAGGAGCCCGCGGTGGTGACGATGCCGGGCGAGGAGCAAGCCGAGCAGCATGACGCCCCCCGGACTGATTCGGATCGGGGCACGCCCCCGCCACTTCCCCCGCCACCCCCTCCGCCCCCGCCACAGGACGACATCCCTCTGGAAGCGGCGCCACCCCCACCGCCGCCCGAAGAGGAGGCCCAGGATCCGCCCCCGCCGCTGCCTCCTTCTCAACCTGCGCAAGCACCACCGACAGACGAGGTCATGGACTCTTCGGAGGCACCGGCCGGCCAAGGGGAAGGCGAGATGC